AATGTAACCAGAGATGTAGAAGACTCATACAAAGAAAACTATAAAATCCTACAGCAAGAAACTAAAAGAGACCTAAATAAATGGAATAACTTTCCATGCACACGGTCTGGAAGACTTAAAACTGTGAAAATGTCAATACTACACAAAGCAGTCTAGAGATACAATGCAATCCCAATCTAAATTCCAACATCTTCTTTACTGAAATGGAAAAACTAATCACCAACTTTATATGGGAAGTAAAGAGGCCCCAAATAACCAAAGCAATAGTGAAGAAGAACAAAGTAGGATGCCTCACCCTTCCTGATCTCAAAATATCCTATACAGCCACGGTAATTAAAACAGCCTTGTACTGGTTCAAAGACAGACACATAGACCGATAGAATAGAATTGAGAACCCAGAAGTAAATCAGTCCATCTAGGGGCAGCTAATTTTTGACAAGAGGTCAAAATCCATTCAACGGGGAATAAACAGTCTCTTTAACAAATGGTGCTGGCAAAACTGGATATCCATTTGCAAAAAAATGAAACAGGATCCATACCTCACACTATACACAAAAACTACTCAAAATGGATCAAGCCCTAAATGTTAAAGCTAAAACTATAAAGTTCCTGAGGATAACGTAAGGACAAAACTATGGGACCTAATTTTCTTTAGAAGTTGATTATCAAATACAGTTACTAATGCAAAAATAACAGAAGACAAATTAGATAATTGGGACCTCCTAAAAATTAAATACTTATGCTCATCAAAAGACTTTATCAAAAGAGTAAAAACAGACCCTACAGACAGGGAAGAAATCTTTGGAAACAACATATCTTATAGGGGCCGAATCTCTAAAATATACAGAAAACATCAACAATTCCACAACAAAAAGACAAGCAATCCAATTAAAAAATGGTCAAAGGACATGAGCAGACACTTCACCAAAGAGGACATTCAAGCAACCAAAAAAAAATATGAAAAGATGCTTGCAATCATTAGCCATTACAGGATGCAAATCAAAACTACAATGAGATACCATTTCACCCCTGCAAAAATGACACCGATCCAAAAAAAAAGAAAAGAACAAATGCTGGTGACATTGTGGGGAGACTGGAACCCTTAACCACTGCTAGTGGGATTGTAAAATGATGCAACCACAATGGAAAACAGTATGGCACCTCCTCAAAAAGCTAGAAATAGAGATACATTATGATCCAGCTATCCCACTCCTAGGTATATACCCTAAAGAACTAATAGCAGTGAACTGAATAGACATATGCACACCTATGTTCATTGCAGCATTATTCACAATAGCAAAAAGATGGAAACAAACTAAGTGCCCATCAACAGATAAATGGATAAACAAATTGTGGTACATACATAAAATGGAATACTATGCAGCTATAAAGAATAATGATGAGTTCGCGAAACATAACAAAGATGGATATGGAGGACATTAAGCTTAGTGAAATAAATCAATCGCAAAAGGACAAATATTGTATGATGTCACTTTTATAAAAAGATGAGACTAGGTATACATACAGAAAGCAACATTCTTTGGTGGTTACGAGGGATGGGAGGGGAAAGGAGGGGAAATCACTTTCTAGGTAGTAGGCATTTGTTATTTTTGGTAATCGGAAAGTCAGTACTGAAGGCTGGTGAAGTCTGCACAACTTGACCGAGTAAATGATGACACTAAGAAATGCACAAGAATAAGGGACATTTTTAGTAAATGCTGTAACATATACAATTTTGCAACAACAGCAATAGTAACCAAAAAAATGTATGTGGTTACATAGATCGATATGCATGCATATATGTGTATAGGAAGGCAGATGTGAGTATATGCACGTGTATGTATAGGTGTATCTGTAGGCATATGTATATATGTTTCTGTGGGCTGCATATGTATTCATATATGTAATAAAGCACATAGAAGGCACAGTTATGGAGACATCCTAGACATAACCACATACCTCATGGGATTAGTTTACTGGGTTTGAAGGCTCAGCACCATAGTCTCGTGGGACAACTTGGTCAATTGTCACAACGCAATTGATGAAGTTTATGTTCTACGTCGTAGTTTGGTGAGTAGCATCTGGGATCTTAAAAGCTTGCAAGCAGCCTTCTAAGATATAACTATTGGTCTCTACTTGTCTGGAGCAAAAGAGAAAGAAGGAAACCAAAGACTTAAAGAAGAACCTACTCTACAGGTCTAATAGCCCACACTAACCACATCCTCATCTATCTTGAGACCAGAATAACCAGATGGTTTCTGGCTACCACTGCCAACCATTCTGACCAGGGACACAGTAGATGGTCCTAGATAGAATGGGAGAAAAACATAGAACGAAACTCAAATTCTTAAAAAAAGCCAGACTGACTGGATTAATAGAGACGAGAGGAATCCCTGAGACTGTTGCCCTGAGATATCCTTTAAACTTGGAACTGAAACCACTTCCTGAGGTCACCTTTTAGCTAAATAACAGATTGGATCATAAACAATATTAGTAGTGAGTACTGAGCTCTTTTATTAAAAAATACAATAACCTATATGAGACCAAACAGTCAACATTTACCCTAAAGCAAAGATGAGAACACAAGGGGCGGGGGCGGGGGGAGGGGGGAGAGGAAAGCTAGATTAATGGAAATGGAACAACCAGAAAGGAAATAAAAAGAATGTTGACACATTGTGAAAAACGTAACAAATGTCACTGAAAAATGTGTACAGAAATTGTTAAATGTGAACTTAATTTGCTGTGTAAATTTTCACCAAAACACAATAAAATATTATGAAAAAATTATTAAATGATTAACAGTAGAACATTTGCTTACTCCATAAAGTAAATTAGAATCCAATAACCAAGATTAAAATAATAGTTAAATCATTAGAATACCACATGCATTAGAATACTACATGATCATTAACAATTATGTTTTTAAAATTTATTAATACAGAATAACAATAATACTCTAATGGTAAGTTTTGTTTTTTTTTAAGAAGCAGGATGCAAAATTGTATGCTTGCTTGCAGTTAAAGTGGGGATTGGGAGGGAGAGTATTAGCTGGTAACATAACTAATTCTGCCCTGCCCATCCTCCCCTCCCGCATTTATTACTTTTATAAAAAGAAGAAAATTTTTCTGTTATAAACCATGTATTACAGAACTTAATATTTGTAAAGTGATTAGAAGAGAGTCTGGCACATAGAAAGAGTGCAATACAATGTGGTTGTTGAATAAAAGAATGATGAATTAACTTATGAATATATGTATTTTGGCAAAGAAACAATATGAAGACAGCTTACTTACAATAGGCCAATCTTCCTCTAGTCTTTCTTCTGGTTCCTCCTCCTAGACAACAGAAACCTGATGTTTTGGTAAATATATTAAAACCTAAAACCTAAACTTCCACAACCTCTAATCAAGGAATGCTCTTCCATTTCTAATAAGGCTCACCTTATCACCCCCTGCTTCTCTGCCCTCCAGACCTCTCACCAACCTCCTCACCCTCTCTTCTCCTTCCCCTGGCCTTTCTCCTTCTCCCTCACTAAGCCCACCCAATTTCACCCTGGCCAGGTCCTAACCCCTCCCTCTCATGCTTTCTTAATAACCTTATCCCCTCTAGCCAGTCAGACTATTTCCTCTCCCCTCTAGGACTGTAATTCCCTTCTCCTCTCATGACTTCACTTCTGTTTGCTCCCTTTTCCCATATTCACTCCATCTGTCACATCCCCATTCCTATCCACAACTCCCAGTCCACTTTCCTTAACCTCTTTCTAATGCTGAGACCCTGGACCTCATTAAGATTATCATGGACCCTAGGCAGCTTTGCCTTACTAGACTCCTTCTTCAACAACATACATACACACACACACATACATGCATTCATACATACTATTTTATACCATATTATAAACATCATTAAAACTTTCAATTACCTAACTGTTATTCAATTATATAACAAATATCATCAAGGTTGGAGTTATTACAATGTATTTGTTATTATTATATTCAGTTTTTGAGATTAAAAATATTAAAACAGTTGTGGAATAAAAAATGTATCATGAGACCTAGGCACAGTAGATACTATGCTCAATGGATACTTTGCCCTACAGACACCCACCAAAAAAATCTTTCACCTGACAATTGAAGGGTCAAGGCAATACTATTCTTTCCCATACGTTCAAAAGGAACACAGTATTTAAGAGTTGTATCAATGTTATTTTGCAATGAAGAAATACGGAAAAAAAGTTTCACTAAGGATGGAAGGTAATCAGTTTCCATGAAACATGGGAACATTCCAGAAAAGAAAATGCACATTTTAACCCCAGTTTGCAGAAGTAATGGTACAATTTATGACAAGCGTTAGGAAAGATGGTTTTAACCACACCTCACTGGTAAGCAATAATGCATCTAGGTTTCTGGATAGATCACTGTATCACATAAAATACAGGAACCTATAAACAAGCTAACAGTTACTAACATTGAATGTGGCTTTGCTGCAAAGGTCTATTCTTACGCTTAGCAGTTTCTCAAATTATAAGCCAAGTGTCTTTTATTTAGTATAACTTGCTGCATTTCTATAACAAAGAGAAGAAGGCACAGCTGGTGCAAGCAGAACAAAGACCATTGAGGGAGAGGGCTGGCTGAGGGGGACAATTCACTTTTTTTTTCCCCGAAAGGTGGGAAAAAAATCCCCAAACAAATATGTCTGTTTCCAGTTCTGGTAATTTTCCATAGCTGGAGACTAATAGCAACCTGACAAAAGCCATGGATTCACAATAGCAAGGCATTCACATGCTTAGAGAATTCACTGCCCTCTACATTTCTTGAAAAAGTTTACACCACTGGAGTGCTAGGTGAAATGAATTGTTACTTATATTTGAGCATCGTTTTATAGTGAGATGACTAGGAGGAGACGCACATTTTGAGACCGTAAGTAACTTATGGTTAAGTTTTGGTTGTTGTAAATGCAGGTTGTTAACCTGGGGGCCCCCACACACCAACCAGCCTGCTTCAGCGATCAATGTCTTCTGCCTGGCAGTCGGGGTCTTGGCCTTTAGCACCCTCAACTGCAGCCACCCAGTTCTCATGAGTGATTCTGTCATAAACCGGGTTATTACATTCCCTGATCATCCCCTCTTGCTCCGCCACAAGTGCTTCTCCTGTGAAGTATAACACTGCTCTTGGGATAACAAAGGTGCGCAAAGTGTGAGCGATGAAGACGTCTTCCTCATCCTCATTGGCATCCAGGCCCCACTGCAGAGCACTGAAGAAGTTGAAGAAGGACTCTCGGGGAAATTCCTGAGTTACAGTGCGCATCAGTCCCCAAAACCTGTGCCTCTGCTTCTTCAGGACTGTCTGCATAGTGACGTTCTTTCCCTCGTTCCAGTCTATCTTGCAGCCGATGCAATGCTCCACCGCAGATCCCCTAAAGGGGTGGGGGTCATAGTAATCAAGCTTAGACTTGAGCTTGTATGTTTTGGTCAACACCTCATTTGTGAAGTAGTCATTGGGTTCGAAGTGAAATTCCAGCGTGAAGGTGAGTGGCTCATCAGGTTTTGAGAACTTGACCTTCACGTCTCGCAGGAGCTTCAGAATGGGCTCGTCATATTTCTTAATCAGCGGAGTGACCTCCTCGACGTTCTTTAAAACCGTGAGCCAGAAATCGGGAATACCTGCAGGGTCCTCTTTCTCCCCGTCCACATTATGCTCCTCGATTCCTCCATACTCCCCAAACACCTCCTTGAAATCCGCAAAATCCTCCTTGAAATAGTCTTCCAAGTCCTCATACTCCGGATTTTCCTCCAGACAGTACATCTGAGCATCAGAGTCATCTGCCACCTCATTATAGCCATAGTCTGCGGCCTCGGACCTCACCTCGCACTCCTCTTTCGTGGGTTCGTACAGCGCATTGATGATCTGGCGTCTCTTTTCTAGTAAGGGCCCATAGATACCGGCAAATTTCCTCTCGATGGAATGAAATTCCCTCAGGTACTTGGCCTCTAGGCCGGCCGATTTGGCCTGAAGCTTTTTGAGAGCGTACACTCGGTATTTAACTGCCAGAGGCAGGCTCTCAATAAAGTCCGCGTCTAAGGAATACCCCATCAAAGCCTGCGGAGAGGCTGCGGTTGTCAGGGCGCCAAGTAATGGACCCAATTCACTGGCTGCGCTGTGTTCCCCCGGCTCATCCATCATTAGCTTTTCGGCAGGAAAAGACTCACCGAGGTGGAGGAGACGGCTGTGGTCTGGGCTGCAGAAACTGGCGGGGTCTAATGTGGAGGCGGTCGCGGCTGCAGATGCCGTGGGAGCTGGGCCGAGGTTGGGGAAGCAGCGGAGGGGCAGGCGGACGTAATATTGGAGCAGGCCTAAGGCTGCCGCAGGAGCAGCGGACTGAAGGACTTTCCCAATAGCTGCCGTGGCAAAACGAGGAGGTGCCGCAAGCAGATTGAGCGAATGACCCTCTAAACTCTTTTTTTTTTTTTTTTGCTTCAGAGCTCAACTTATTTGCTGAGTGGCTGTGATTGACAAACCCTCGTCCAATGAATGATTAGATCCATCACATTTCCAGCGCCACCCACCTTCCGGGCAGAAGCAGCTCCAAAATTTCTAGACAGGAGGGGTTTACCGAGGACCGTCTGATGGGGGAGGAGCAGATTGAAACTACTTTAAGGCAGGTCTTTAAGTAAGCCTGAAAAACTTACTTTGATGGAAAAGAGCAGAGAATTGAGGTGAAGCGAGTTTTTAGAGGTCAGGAACATGACTTCCTATACGATTAACATATCTAGTAAGGTTGACCACCAGTGGAGTGTTGTTCAAGAATCTTTTTGATTACATTTGGTAACAGTTGTGCTTTATTTTTATCCATGTTTAAAAAATATTGCAGTTTAAAAATTCCAAAAGAGCTTAAATTTCCGTCTATGACGTCAGCTGTAATTTCAGAAAACGCAAAAGGATTGAATTGTGTCCCCTAAAAAGACATGTTGAAGTCCTAACCCCCAGTACCTGTCAGTTTGGAAATAGGGTCTTTGAAGACGATATCAATTAACATGAGGTCATGCTTGGCATAGGGTGGATCCTAATCCAATCTGAGTGATGTCCTTACAACAGAGGAGAAGAGACACAGAGAGAAAGAAGAATAATAGTCATGTGAAGATACATCTACAAGCCAAGGGGGACCTAGGGGGCTACCAGAAGAAGCTGGGAAAGACAAGAAAGGATATTTCCCTAGAGACATTGGAGGGAGCATGGCCTGGCCCACAAATTGATTTGGACTTCTATCCTCCGTAATTATGAGACAATAAATTTCTGTTCTCATAAGTCACCTAGTTTGTGGTATTTTGTTATAGCAACCCTAGGAAACTATTACAGAGGGGAAGGGGAAAAGGAATTAGTCTTCTCATTGGACTAAATGCCCGTGTTAGGGAGTCATGTAAATTGGAAGGTCTCCAAGCTGCGTTGTATTGAGGATGGAGCAAGGAGCATGTAAGTGGAATATAAAGAAAATATGTTGTTTCCCTCAGTAAATGTAATATCTAATATTTAACCACTGCCCATGGTGTGTGTGTGTTTGAGCAAAACACATTTCATTTAAAATAGACAGGCGGCAGAAGGCTCAAATAGTATGTGAAATTTCAGTCAAGTTTCCAGTTAATGTGTCAGTCCCATAGTTTTATTTATAGTTATGACTTATACATTGCTTGTTTTCTTTTGTTTATTTTAGTCTATAATTAGAAAATTCCCTGTTGTTTTATGATAATAAATAGATTATATGCTCAATTTAGAAAATTCTAGAAAACAAGACACTTGTAGAGGATAAGAGAAACCAGTAGCAACCTCTTCACTTTGAGAACATTAATGCCATTTTCTGTGCACGAATGACAGATAGAAATTTTTAAAAACTGACATTATATTGCACTGACCCTTTCACAGCCATCTTTTTTCCCCCTCTTAGGATTCTATAAAGAGCAACTCCCCATTTCATTAAATGGTCTTCAAAATTACGATTTAAAATATCATTTATTGCTATTTAAGAGATTTAAATAATTTAATGAATACAAATAGTTTCAATCTGCTCCTCCCCCATCAGACGGTCCTCGGTAAACCCCTCCTGTCTAGAAATTTTGGAGCTGCTTCTGCCCGGAAGGTGGGTGGCGCTGGAAATGTGATGGATCTAATCATTCATTGGACGAGGGTTTGTCAATCACAGCCACTCAGCAAATAAGTTGAGCTCTGAAGCAAAAAAAAAAAAAAAAGAGTTTAGAGGGTCATTCGCTCAATCTGCTTGCGGCACCTCCTCGTTTTGCCACGGCAGCTATTGGGAAAGTCCTTCAGTCCGCTGCTCCTGCGGCAGCCTTAGGCCTGCTCCAATATTACGTCCGCCTGCCCCTCCGCTGCTTCCCCAACCTCGGCCCAGCTCCCACGGCATCTGCAGCCGCGACCGCCTCCACATTAGACCCCGCCAGTTTCTGCAGCCCAGACCACAGCCGTCTCCTCCACCTCGGTGAGTCTTTTCCTGCCGAAAAGCTAATGATGGATGAGCCGGGGGAACACAGCGCAGCCAGTGAATTGGGTCCATTACTTGGCGCCCTGACAACCGCAGCCTCTCCGCAGGCTTTGATGGGGTATTCCTTAGACGCGGACTTTATTGAGAGCCTGCCTCTGGCAGTTAAATACCGAGTGTACGCTCTCAAAAAGCTTCAGGCCAAATCGGCCGGCCTAGAGGCCAAGTACCTGAGGGAATTTCATTCCATCGAGAGGAAATTTGCCGGTATCTATGGGCCCTTACTAGAAAAGAGACGCCAGATCATCAATGCGCTGTACGAACCCACGAAAGAGGAGTGCGAGGTGAGGTCCGAGGCCGCAGACTATGGCTATAATGAGGTGGCAGATGACTCTGATGCTCAGATGTACTGTCTGGAGGAAAATCCGGAGTATGAGGACTTGGAAGACTATTTCAAGGAGGATTTTGCGGATTTCAAGGAGGTGTTTGGGGAGTATGGAGGAATCGAGGAGCATAATGTGGACGGGGAGAAAGAGGACCCTGCAGGTATTCCCGATTTCTGGCTCACGGTTTTAAAGAACGTCGAGGAGGTCACTCCGCTGATTAAGAAATATGACGAGCCCATTCTGAAGCTCCTGCGAGACGTGAAGGTCAAGTTCTCAAAACCTGATGAGCCACTCACCTTCACGCTGGAATTTCACTTCGAACCCAATGACTACTTCACAAATGAGGTGTTGACCAAAACATACAAGCTCAAGTCTAAGCTTGATTACTATGACCCCCACCCCTTTAGGGGATCTGCGGTGGAGCATTGCATCGGCTGCAAGATAGACTGGAACGAGGGAAAGAACGTCACTATGCAGACAGTCCTGAAGAAGCAGAGGCACAGGTTTTGGGGACTGATGCGCACTGTAACTCAGGAATTTCCCCGAGAGTCCTTCTTCAACTTCTTCAGTGCTCTGCAGTGGGGCCTGGATGCCAATGAGGATGAGGAAGACGTCTTCATCGCTCACACTTTGCGCACCTTTGTTATCCCAAGAGCAGTGTTATACTTCACAGGAGAAGCACTTGTGGCGGAGCAAGAGGGGATGATCAGGGAATGTAATAACCCGGTTTATGACAGAATCACTCATGAGAACTGGGTGGCTGCAGTTGAGGGTGCTAAAGGCCAAGACCCCGACTGCCAGGCAGAAGACATTGATCGCTGAAGCAGGCTGGTTGGTGTGTGGGGGCCCCCAGGTTAACAACCTGCATTTACAACAACCAAAACTTAACCATAAGTTACTTACGGTCTCAAAATGTGCGTCTCCTCCTAGTCATCTCACTATAAAACGATGCTCAAATATAAGTAACAATTCATTTCACCTAGCACTCCAGTGGTGTAAACTTTTTCAAGAAATGTAGAGGGCAGTGAATTCTCTAAGCATGTGAATGCCTTGCTATTGTGAATCCATGGCTTTTGTCAGGTTGCTATTAGTCTCCAGCTATGGAAAATTACCAGAACTGGAAACAGACATATTTGTTTGGGGATTTTTTTCCCACCTTTCGGGGAAAAAAAAAGTGAATTGTCCCCCTCAGCCAGCCCTCTCCCTCAATGGTCTTTGTTCTGCTTGCACCAGCTGTGCCTTCTTCTCTTTGTTATAGAAATGCAGCAAGTTATACTAAATAAAAGACACTTGGCTTATAATTTGAGAAACTGCTAAGCGTAAGAATAGACCTTTGCAGCAAAGCCACATTCAATGTTAGTAACTGTTAGCTTGTTTATAGGTTCCTGTATTTTATGTGATACAGTGATCTATCCAGAAACCTAGATGCATTATTGCTTACCAGTGAGGTGTGGTTAAAACCATCTTTCCTAACGCTTGTCATAAATTGTACCATTACTTCTGCAAACTGGGGTTAAAATGTGCATTTTCTTTTCTGGAATGTTCCCATGTTTCATGGAAACTGATTACCTTCCATCCTTAGTGAAACTTTTTTTCCGTATTTCTTCATTGCAAAATAACATTGATACAACTCTTAAATACCACATTTTTTTCTAAAAGCCTAGCACAAGCCCAAATTACCTCTGAGTAGAGAATGATACCAGTCTAGCAGAGTAGAGGACAAGGAATGTCGGGAAAAGTCTTTTGACACAAGTAGGGAATAGAAAGGAGAGGTATCAGGCTCTGAAGGAAAAAGAGGGAAATGAATGTCAGGAAGGAAGAGGGACAGAAAGAGAGTGAATATGTTAAGGAATCCAGAGAGAAGAGAAAATAGTACAGGGATACTTAAAGGCAGTGTGTAAGAGAGAAGGAAGTAGCATCTGTAGGTCAGAGATTAGCTTTTACTACTTTTGATGTATATTTGCCAGCAGTGAGGGGCTGGAGACCAGATACCGTGAAGAGTTGTAGAATCAGGGGCTAGGGACACTGGCTGTTTTGTAACATTTTTTAGGCCTCTGTCGTTGTAATTTCCCACCACAGTTACGGCATTTGCAAAAAATAGCGTGTTTATGGAGCACTTCAGACTGGAGAGGAGGCATTAGTCCTCCTCTTTGCTCTACCTTTCACTTGCTTAGACACTGAGATCCAAAGCTGGAAGATGAGAGGATGGGTTCTCTTAAGGAAGGAAGTAGCCTCGCTATATCAGAGATATGGAGGTTTAGTTTTAGGTTTAAAATATATTTGCCATGATGTCTGGGGCTAGAGATTTAACCTTAATGGACTACTGGGGGTTGGGGTCACAGGGAAGGGAATAGGGATGGAGGCTGGGAGGGTGTGGTTGAGACAGCAGTATTGCTGGTCTAAAGAATGTGGAATTTTAAATTTCACATTACAAGATTTTTGACACATATTACCAAGATGCCCCCTGGGTGTGTTGTAAAACTGTATGCTCCTACCAGCACTTTGGAGTCTTTAGTAAAAATACGTAAGAGGCAGTGTCTTATATATTCTCCTACCATAGCAGTCTGCGTTGGACCACATGGTACAACAGTCTAGATCTCAATATAACCTCCTATTTCGTTTATTGGGCCAGGCCATATGTCTGTCATGAGAATTTGATTTTCTCTTCAATTTGAGCCTAGATTAGAGGTATATATAAGGAGAGACTGCTCCACGACATTCATTCCCTGTAGCCTCAGTCATATTTTTTCTTAGGAGATCAGTGTAATAACAGAAACTTTATGCTTTCTTCTTTAGGTTATTATCCTAGTTTTTGCCCACAGTTTTCTGTTTCTTATTTTGTCAGTATCCCACACAAAGACAAATATTCCATCTTACCTTCCTGTTCCTAGTCCAACTCTTTTAAAGGATGCTTGACAAAATGGATAAACATTTTAAATATTAATTAACAAAAATAAGTTACTATCCTTAATAATTAAAGTCTTTACAAATATGTAAGAATCAGTTAAAAGCACAAACAGAAAACACAAAGGGCATGAACAGGTAATTCACATAAAGTAAGCAAGAAATTCAAACCTGAGAGAATTTGTACTTGTAGTAATAATTAATAACGTTGCTATCTTACACAACAATGAATCTTTTTTTATATGTCAGACTGACAAATATTTAGATAGGTAACACTTATGTTTTGAGTAGTATAACAGACTAGATAGTCAGACTGACTCTCAAGAAAACAACTAACAGTCATGGATAAAATATGAAACCCATATTTTAAGATGCATAAATGCCCTGGCAAGAAAGGGAGATCTGTATCTTAGTATACAAGAAATACACCAATGCCTCCTCTCCAGTCTTCAATACCTTAGCATCAAGGTTATGAAAATGGGAATTCAGAGAGGTACGTAGAGCACAGAAGCTGGCTTTCACCTTAAGGGTGAACTTGAGCTTTGGTTTTCAAAGCTCTAGGAACAGGAGGTAAGCCTGGATCCTGCCCAAAGTGGGGAATTTAATAGGATGCCCTCATCTCTAACACACACACACACAAATGGAACAACAGAGAGGTACAACATCAATGTAAGGGTGAAATGGAAATAAATCTGTCCCTCTCCTCCCGTTCCAGGGGACTATAAGCAAAATTGCCTGTCTCAAACCTTTGGCTAAGAAGAGGGGAAAAAATTCTCACAAGCTGGGTTTCATCTGGATTTGAAGCTTAAATGTATTCATCTAAAAAGTGTTCCAAAACTGATAAAACAAGGGAACAAGAGCTATGAGCTAGAGCCTGTTGGGGTTAAAAAAAAAACACAGAATTGAACAAAAGCTTCAGACATTGGAATTATCAGACATAAATCATAATATAAATATACTTCATATGTTGAAAGAAATTTTAAAAAGATGAATATGTGAGAAGCAATAGAAAATTAAAATGATCAATCAGTTTTTCAAATTTGGAAAAGAACAAAATAAAAAATACATTGCTGGGTTTAGATTACTAATATTTTATGTATGATAGTTACATTTCTATTTAAGAGTGAGACTGGCCTTCAATATTCCTTTAATATTGTTTTTTATACTGTCCTTGTCAGATTTTAGTATCAAGGTTATGCTATCCTTGGGAAGTTGGGGGAGTGTTCCCTCTTTTTCTATACTTTGGAAGAATTTAAATTAGGTTGGAATTTTTTTTCTTTAATAATTGGTAAAATTTGCCAATAAAACAGATTAGGCCTGAATTTTTAGAGACTATATTTAAAATAATAATTTAATTTCTTTGGTGACTATGGGTATAATTAGGTTTTCTTTTTCTTATTGAGTTACTTTTGATGAGCTGTAGTTTTCTAGAAATTTATCAAATATATTTAAATAGTCAAAGTTTTCAAATTATTAGTATATGATATTCATAATGCCCTGTTATTTTTTGTTTATTTTTGGCAGTATCTGCAATGATGAACCTTATCCATTCCTAATATTTTTATTTGTACTTGTTCTCTTTTATCAATCTTGTCAAAAATTTGTCAGTTTTGTTAGTTGATTAGAGTATAGGCTAAGCTGCAGCCTAAAAGAGATTCT